ATCTGGGAAGCAGGGCTTCCTGGAATAAGAGACACACACGCTGGGTTTTGAAGGCTGAATAAGAGGTCACCAAGACAAGGTGAGGAAAGGAACACCTTTATGCCAAGGCACACAGGAAAGAAATATTGGTTCTTGGAGGTGACAAGTTATTTCCATTGTTGGAACAAGGGAAGAGGGACTAGTAGGGGGAAAAGTTGGACATGTGATCAGGAGCTAGAAAGATGGCCATGACAAGGAAAGCCTAGATGTAGTTCAGGGCAGCATTAGGGTTACAATTAGGTTAGTTTGGATGCAAGTTTAAAGGAGAATTTGAATGCAGGTTATCAGTTTAGCCAATAGCAAAGTCATAATAACACACAGGTGTTGCATGTATTATCTCAGTTTAAGCTCAGAACAAGCCTTTATAGGAGACTGAGGCACGGAGAGGTCAAGTGACTTGCCTGAAGTCACATCCTTGGTAAGAGGCCAAGAAAGTGCTAGACACAGATTTGTGATCAAATATAACATTTTGGAGCCAAGTATATAGCTCAGCAGTGCAGTGCCTGCCTGGCAAGCACAAGGCCCTGAGTTCAATTCCCAGTACAGACACACATTTTGTATATATATATTGTTCCTTAATTATGTAGCTCCCTAACCCAATGCCAAAGGCTCAAGGAATGGAATGGTCTTGGTTGTCTCAAATCCCCCAGCATCCAATATATATGATATTGGAATCATATTGGCTTCAAATACCTGCTTTATTCCAGCTTTGAGGTCTCCAGGAAGCCCTCTCTCTTTCACATAGCTTCAAATTTCCATCAGCAGACAGAAACAACAGTATCTAATTTTTAGGGTTTATGATTAAGGCTTAATTATGATTCAGAAAACATATAAAGCACCATAACCAGGACCACACTTATTACCAAATGTCAGAAATATTATTGGGCTGATGACTGGTTTGAAGCCAAGTTAAATTAACAATTCAAATTTCAGGTGGGATTTCTCTTCCACTAGAGTTCTTCCTTGAGTCTGGGTTCCTCCCACAATTTGACTTTGCAGAAGACTCATAAGGAGGCACCCAGTAGTCTAGACCCAGTGCAGTGTAACAGCCGGATGTATCAGTCGGATGACTGATATTTGCTTTGGCATATAATCCTCAGTTCCCCCAAGGAGAGTTTAGATGGGTCTTTCTAGTAGGAACAGCCAACCTAACCTATGTCACTAGCCCACAATTCAGTTTTTCTCCAAAAAGTATGCTGGCTATTTAGAAAAGTCCCAAGTATCAAGGAGATAAAAGACAGATTTTCAAAGAAGGCAAAAGAAAAAAAAAAACCAGTTTTAATATGGCCAAACAGGGGGCTGGGGATTTAGCTCAGTGGCATAAGCACCTGCCTTACAAGCAGGCGGTCGTGAGTTCGATCCCTGGTACCAATAAAAATGAAAAAGACAAAAAAAAAAAAAGATTAATATGGCCAAACAGTTTGAATAGACGTTTCTCCAAAGAAAATAATGTAAAATGCCAGTAAGGGCATGAAAGGGTGCTCACCACCACTCATCATCAGGGAACTGCAAATCCAACCACAGTGAGATACCTCCTCACACTCAACGGCTCAAAACAAAGGAGCCCACAAAAAATGAGCCACACAGAAGAAACAGCACAAGGATGGAGAGCAACTGGAACGCTCCTGCACTGCTGATGGCAATGTAAAACGGTGCGGCCACTATTGAATACCGGATAGCAATTCCTCAAAAGAAAAAAACTAAATATTGAATTAGCATGTAATCTGGCAATTCCACTTCTGAGCACACATTGAAAGAACTGAAAGCAAGAACTTGAGCAGATATATTTATATCCCAACATTCATAACAGCATCATTCATAACAGTCAAAAGATTGAAACGGTCCAAGTGACCATTGGCAGATCAATGAACAAAGAGAGTGCATAATGAACACCCTCATGGAACATTACTCAGCCATAAAAAGGAAGGAAATGATGACACATGCTACCACTTGGATGGACCTTGAGGACACTACGGTAAGTGAAATAAGCCACACACATGAGGACAAAAACTATGTTTTCACTTACCAAGTCACTGTCGTGGATTAACTAATGGGAAACTTATAACAGCCAGTTGAACTGAAGCAGTGTAGTGCTAGGTGTGAAGGTCCACCTGAGGATTGTTGCATAAAAGAAAAATTAGAGGGGAAGATGGTGCTGCTGATCCTCCTGGAGAAGCTTGTCACACTGGCTTTCCTGATATGAACTAGGCTGTTTTCATCATTGGAGGAGCTCGGGTCCTCACTATCACTGAGGATGGCTATAGCTGTCTCCAGGGAAGCTCTGGTCCTTTTCTTGAGTGTCTCTTATTGGTTCCAGAGATCTCTTGGCCTACTAGCAGAAATGCTTCATCCTGCTGGTGCAGACTTTCTAGCTTCCGCCACTGACCTTTGAGCCTTCCCAGTGCAGATCCTTGATACAGACTCGCATGAGACATTGCTTTAGACGCTAGGTCTTCAGCTGGGCTCGTGCAAAACATTGCCATGGGATCCAGGCCCTCAACTGGATTCTTTGGATCTCTAGCTCATGGACAGATCTCCCATATTCTTCTGTATTTGACTTTTTGGGTGACTATTACAAAATAATCCCATAAATTACGTATCCTGTATGAAATCTACTTCCTTGAAAACCCTGACTACAACAGACATCTAGAGTAATCAGACTCAGAGACAAAAAGTAGCAGCATGGTTGTCAGGGGCTGGCAGGAGTTCGTGTCTCATGGGCAGATTCATTTTAAGAAGATGAAGAAGTTCTGGGGATGGATGGTAGTGAGGTTTGGTGTGAATGCACTTAAGGCCACTGTAGCTGTACAGCTGAAAATGGCTGAAACATTAAAATTATGTTACATTTACTTTCCACAGTAATAATTCTTTTAGAAAGGTGACAGGCAGGGGAAGATGGCACACAGAGTATCTGCTGCAAGGAGCTGAGAAGACAGTATCCCCCCCCACCCCCAAGGCCAGCCTGCCGAACAGGAGAGGTGGACATACCTGGGAGGGCTGAAGATCAGACTCATATGTCACGTGGAGGTTTCTAGGACCACATTTCTCTTCCTCTCTGGGAAATCAGAAAACCAGCTGATGCACAGATTTCTTCCCATTTCTGCACCCTGCAGTACTGCCTTATGAGAAGACTCGGCTCACGCAGAGGAGGTGAAAGGGACACAGAAGCCAGACCTTCACCATCATAGACCTTTCTAATGAGGCCTGAGGACCCTTTGACTCAGCCCTGATGCCTGAAAAGAGTGTGCCTTAGAGGACCCACTCTAGCAGGGTGCATTCTGGTCCCAAACAGATGCCACCCTCAAATTGGGTCAGAAAGAGGGGCTGGGGATTTAGCTCAGCGGCATAAGCCCCTGCCTTGCAAGCAGGCAGTCGTGAGTTCGATCCCTGGTACCGATACAAAACAAAAAAGACAAAAAAAAAAAAAAAAAAAATTGGGTCAGAGAGGACAGTTTAGCAAAGAATCTGCTTACAAAGATGTGGACATCACTAAGGGAAACAAAAGGGTAATAGAATCCCCAGGGCTTGCCACAGCAAGGCTGTCGTCATACTCAATGCAAAAGTGGTTGCAGGAACTTCAGACACCATACAGGAAAGGTGGCCTTTGCTAAGGACAGTTCTACAGGAAGGGAGCTGGGGAGGCAGAGGAGGTACTCAGACTCTTTCTTTTTGCCAGGCCTCCACCGGCCAAGCCTAAGGAGAAGCCAAGAGGACAAAGGAGCCTGCCAGGCTGCAGGGTCAGAGCAGGATGGTACAGGCCAGCAAGGATGTTAGAGCAGCAAATGGAGGGGTGGCTTCAAAGTGAATCAGCACCAGCTCACCCACATGGCCAAGCCAGGGCTAAGCCCAGCCTCCCTCCACAGCTGACCTTAGACTCAGGTAGACAGGAGCCCTGGGCTCTTTGGGACTGGAGGGGAGTGTCTGGCTTGTTGGAAGAGCCCCCACTTCCTGGCTGTGCGCAGGCTGGCCAGGGCCTCAGCCTCAGCCTCAGCTCCTCTCTGTCACCCCTTCGGCCAGCAGCTCCTGATAGTTCCTCTGCCCTGCCAGTGCTAAGAGGAGTACCCAGAGAAATGTGGAACCACCGCAGCCCACTTGTCCAACCTGTTGGATACCCCTAGAGCCAGACAGACACGGGTTTCATTCACCTGGTTCCTGGCTCACGCAGAAGTGGATTATGTTCTTTGTAAAATGGGATCAGTCACCTCCTCCCTTCCCGGAGATGTCCTGGGGATTCCAAGCACAACTTTCTGAAAAGCACAGGCATGGAGCCTGGCGTGGAGTTATCCTCCGGAGTGGGGCATCAGTGGCCTTGTTAGCAAGCACCCCCTGCCCGTGGCTCAGGCTCAGCCCACCTTGCTGCATTGCTCTCCTAGCTCACTGTCCTGTGCATTTATTGCTGGTTTTCACCTCCTTCGCTCCCCATCTCAGCAGATTGCAAACCCGGGAGACCTGGTCTTTGGGTTCCTGGTTCTCCCTGAATCCCTACTACTCGGGGTGGGCTCACAATGACCAACATTTACACGGTGGCTGGACACTGCCAATGGCTTCCATGCACTTAATCTTGAAGACAGCTCCTGTTGGTAGGCAGTGACACGGGGCCCATTAATACCCGATGAAACCAACCCCAGAAGGGTCAAGCAACTAATCCAAGGTCACAGAGTCCATGCACTGGAGAGCAAGGGTTGGAACCCAGGAGTCTGGCTTTCCAGTCGGGCTCTGGACTGCGGCTCCCAAGGACAGCGACGTGGGAGCGCAGCCCCTTGTCAGTCAATGAACGGACGGCGGAGGCGAACGCATCGTCTTCCCGGTGCGACGCCTCAGCAGTGGGACAAAGGCCCGGCAGGGGCCGGACGTGACCGGCGGGGGCCGCGCCGGCCCTTTAAGGGGGACGGGCCGGGGGCGTGCCGGGGGCGGGGCGGGGGCGGGGAGAGGGCGTGCCGGGGGCGGGGCGGCCGCGGGGTGGCCGAGGGCGCGCGGAGCGGAGGGCGGCGGCGGCGGCGCCAGTGCTCGGCCCTCGGATCGTGCTCGGCCCGGCTCCCGGCCCGCGGCGCCCACCGACCCTGTGCCCCGCCCGTGGACCACCGGCCATGCCGCCGCGGCGCAGCATCGTGGAGGTGAAAGTGCTGGACGTGCAGAAGCGGCGAGTGCCCAACAAGCATTATGTGAGTGCGCGCCCCACGCCCCCTCGCGCCCGCGCCCCGCAGGCCGCCGAGGCCCGGGCTGGCAAACTTCTGCCTCCCGCGCGGCCCGCCCTGCCCTCCCGCGCCGCTGCCCGGTGCCCGGCCCCCCACCGCTGCCCTCCGCCTTGGCCCTTCTCCCCGCCGCCCCTCCTCCCGCCGCCCCCTGCTGGCTGCGTGGCCGCGCCCCTCTTCCCGTCTCCCCCAGGCCCCTCGCCCTCACCCAGTCCGGCTCCTCCGGGGAGAAGTCTAACCCCAGCCGGTGTAGAAAACCGGGAGACAGGAAGGGAGAAGAGACAGGCCGCCCCGCCTGGTCCAGAGGCCCCCAGACCCGCAGTGCCCAGCCACAGGTACCCCTCTGGGAATTGCCAAGTTTGGCTGGGTCCTTCGGGGAGAGCCAGCCTGAGCGAGGCATGGATTCGATCATTGGAATGCCCTCCTCTCTCCAGTAACTTCCTTTTAAAAATGTCCCAAAATTTCCTCCTGGCTTCTCCTTCTGTAAAACGAGAATCTTGTTTGAAGTGCCCAAGGATTTGAGAAATGGGCCCATAGCATCATTTTGCAGATGGGCAGACTGAGGCTTCAAGAGGCTACAGGTTCCAGAACACAGCTCCGTTCAGGCCTCCCCTCCTTCTGGAAGGTGTGCCTGATCTGCCCAGGGACCACCTGCAGGTGACAAGTGGTTCCCACAGCAGTTTGGGGTCCCTGTCCCTGGGTTCAGCTGGCCCTGGGCCCACCCTGGAGCTTGTAGGTAGTGCCTCCAGAGGAGGCTTGGGGAAGACCTCCCTCCATAAAGGGGGGCTCTGTTGTCTGGCAGGGAGTAGTGGACAGTGGCAGAGCAAGCTGGGGAAGTTAACCAGGAAGGAGGGAGGGAAAAAATCCTAACAAAGAAGTGCAGAACAATGACTAGAAAAGGGCGTTGGCCAGCTAAATTCATTCCTCGCCTCCAGGGAAGCTGTCCTAGGATCTGTTTTTAAGGGACTCCTCTTTACAAAGCAGATCTCTGTGCCTTCCTTGAGTAGCCCATAAAATTTGGAAAGGAGATAGCTGGGACTCCACGGTGCACTCCAGGAGAAGGGGTGTGCTGTGGAGTCTGTATTGTTATTGGCTGGGCAGCCAGCTATTCACCCCTGAGCCAGGCGTGGGAAGCTATTTCCTGGACCTGTGGCATCTTGAAATAGAGTGAAGTTTCCCCCTGATTCCAGGGCCCAGTGCCGAGCTAAATCATCCCTCACCTTTTGTTTTTTTCATTAACTGTTTAAAATGCTACCAGATCTTGGTTTCTTGTTGGAGCCTGTTGACTAGTTAAATGAGTTGTCTCTGTGTACGGGGACAGTTTCCACAACATGGCAATGAGAGGAACTAATCCAATCCATGCTGTCTTCGAGCAGGTCTGTGAGCTGGATAGATACAGCCACCAAGGACTGGGGATCTCTTCCTCCACTCCCTCGCTTCTGTCACACATATTCACATGGCAGTAGTTCTTAACCCATTTGACAGATGGGGATACTAAGGCTCAGTTAGGTAAAGTCGTACACCAGAGGTAAATCCAGGTCTGTTGGACCCAAAAAGTATTCCACCAAACCACACCACTTCCTAGATCCCATGCCCTCGTGGTCTCCCTGGACTAAGACGCTCCTAAAGCTAAGCAGTCTGCTGTATTATTGGTGATGAGCCAAAGTGTTTATTTCCCTGCCACAGGTTTTGGCGTGTTTTACAATTTTGAGGGGCATCTTTTTAAGCTTTTAGACCCTTTAAGGGGCCCACTGGAAAAGTATATATTAAAACACTGGCTGGGGTTCAGATCTCGACTGTACAGCTTGCTAGCTGTGTGGCATGAGCCTCAGTTTCCTCACCTGTAAAACGGGGTGTTGGTGAGAGAGCAAGTGACTGGCAGGAGTAGAGTCTGTGACTGTTGTGCCCCAGCCTGCCTGCCAGTGGTGGCCGGGTCACTGGTTGGGAACATGGCGAAAGCAGATGGGGGAGGGGGAGTTTCTTCCAGGACGTGTTATGCGGTGTGTGAGTTTAGTCACGCCTATGATTCAGGGGCTCGCTCCGAGCAGGCCTTTGGGGCTCATCAGATGAGGGGCAGTGGTGGTGCAGTGGTAAACTGAATCATCCGCAGAAACAAAATTTACTGCCATGACAACCAGGGGTCTGAGCCCAACAGAACCCTGCTCCCACCCCGCATACCCTGGAAGGAAGGGCATGGGCACAGCTGTTGGCAGGCCTGGACTTGGCCTCTGGTGTGATGCCTTCCTGTCTCAAGCCACTCTGGAGAGTGTGCGTGGGGGAGCTGGGTAGTCCCGGCCTCTCCCCCTTCCTGCTGCATCCCCTTGAGCTGGTTGCTTTACTTCTCTGAGCTCATGTTCTACAAATTGTAAATACTGTTACCTCCATCTGGGATCAAGTGGCCCAACTTGAACACTGCTGACATTTTGGACCAGCTCACTTTGTTGCCAGAAGCTGTCCTATAACATTACGTTTTGCTGCATACTTGGTCTCTGCCCACTGGATGCCAATAGTACCTTTCTCACCAGTTTGGTTTCACAACCAAAAATGGGTCCAGGGGTTAATTGTTACTCTTGGTATTAGTCCAGTTTCTGTTACTGTATTAATATACTTGAGGCTAGATACTTTATAAAGCAAAGAGGTTTCATTTAGCTCATAGTTTGGGAAGCTGAGCATTCAAGGTTGGGTACTCTTACCAATTTGCGCTCTGGTAAGGACCCTCTTTGGCTGAGTCACAACATGGTGGATGACATCACAGTGGAAGAGTTCACATGGTGAGACAGGAAGCCAGAGAGACCAGGGAGGGGCTAGTCTTGCTCTTTTATACAACTCACTGTCGGGAACTACTTAATGGGTCCCACAAGAATTAAGGCGCAGTGCCTGCTGACCTGACCACTTTTCACAAGGCTCTACCTCTTAAAGATCCCACCACTTCTCACATCATCACACTGGGGATCAGACTTCTAGTACATGAATGCCTGGGGAACAAAGCCCAGCAGGCCCATCACATACCCTCTCCGCAGTCCTGATGCTGTAGAGTACCTCAGTCAGTTTTGGAGAGTCCTGACCTGCCCCGGCACCCCTCTCCCCATTTGCAGCTACCTCAGCCACTGTGGTCTGCTCATCATTCCGTTGCCTGGCCAGGAACAGGTCCTGAGTGCTGTGGGTGTCATTAGAGAGCTGTATGACCCAGATGGAGCACAAGGACTAGGCCACCGGGAACTGTCTTCTCCATGACAGCATGACACCCACTCCTGCCCTAGCCCAGCCGCCTTCACAGGGGGGCAGGGATATCCCTGCGGAGCCTCAGATCCTTACAGAGGTGATATGTCCGTCTGTTCCCGTCTGGAGAGTGCTTCCCTGAGCCCGAGGGTTTCGGGATGAATGACAAGAGGCCTCATATGATGTCCAGGGCGTCACTCCACGACTGGTTGTTTTTCAGCTTAAGTGGCAAAAAAAGAAGGACTCTGAGGACGTGGGGGGGCCTGTTGGACTCATCAGTCTCCTGCACTGGACAGGGCACACAGAACACTTTGTTTAGCACAGAGTCACTGACAGGAGCCCAGAGAAGCCGCCGGCTCTGCTGGAGCGCTTCCGAGACCTAGGGGAGCTGGCTGGTGGTCAGTGGCACAGCAGCAGCCAAAGTTGCATCTGTCACTCTAGGCCAGGCACTGCATGAGGCTCTCTCTGTGTATTTACTTCTATGAATCCAGTATTTCTACTACACAAATGCAGAAAGAAAATAAAATACATACCTATCAATACGCCTTCCAGCTCAATGCTGTGGGTCTGTGTTTGACGTATGCATTTCAGATCCATTTAGTTTTACTTTTTAAGAAGTAAACAATTAGTCCAGGCACAAGCCTGTGATCCTAGTGACCTGGAGGGTGAAGCAGGAGGGTCCTGAGTTTGAAACTAACCTGAGCAACATAGTGAGGAAAAGGAAGAAGGAAGGAATTAGCTGCCAAGCCCCCTGTATGCTCTCCACACCATACCCTACTTCCTCTGAAAACCCAGCATCTGCATTTGATTCTTTTTTTTTTTTTGTCTTTTTCCTTTTTATCGATACCGGGGATCTAACTCACAACTGCCTGCTTGCAAGGCAGGTGCTTATGCCGATGAGCTAAATCCCCAGCCCCTGCATTTGATTCTTACCATCCTCCCGCACTTTGGAAATGCGGACTGCTAGATATGGTTTCTTTTCTTTTCTTTTTCTTTTTTTTCTTTTTTTTTTTTTTTTTTTTTTTGCAGTACTGGGGATTGAACTCATGAACTTGCACTTGCCAGGCAGGCGCTTATGCCACTAAGCTAAATCCCCAGCCCTAGATATGGTTTCTTTAACAGGTTTATTGAAGTGTAATTTTAAGTGTACAGTTCACCAGTTTTGTTTTTTTTTTTAGTAAGTCACAGAGCTAAGCAAGCTTCCCTGCAGTCCAGTACCGTGCTATCACCCTAAAAAGTGCCCCTAGCACTGATTCACAAGCAGGGTCCTTTCCACTCCAGCATGAGTGTCTTTTAATATCTTTACCTTCAAACAGCCCCCCAATCTTATATCTTGAAAGTTTTAGAAATTGTAAAACACATCTCACTTTTGAGATCTGTGTTTGATACGGGTATCTCTAGTTCCTTTTAACAACCGTGTAGTATTTCATTTATGGGTACATCCCTCTTTATTTAAGCTCCTGTGGGGGCTTTTAGAATGTGCCCAGCAGTTAACTTTCTTAGAGCTACTTCCTTGCACATAAAGGGACATAAGACAGCTGGTGGGGTTTGTGTGTGTTTCACTTTGCGTTTACCTATGGGGGTCCCTGTTGCTTTGTGCCTTGCTAACTCTTACCAGACTTCAGTTTGTATCAGTGTGCTGAGTACCAAGCTGTTTCCCTGCTTGCTAGTGAGGCCAAATAGTTTTTTCACACCTTTATCAGCCATTTGAGACTTTTCTTCTGTGAACTGCTTTTTATCCTTTGTCTCTT